GATAATATAAGACTCAAAGCCAGAGACTTTAGAGAGGAGAGACAGAGAATGGCCTTAAATCAGCAAGGATAACTCCACATCCAGGCTAAGGGACAGGAGGGAATATGAGTGTGGCAGGCGTGGTTCACTGAAGGAAAGCAGGTACTATAACTGAAGAGCCATGCTATGGATGATGGGCAGGTGAGAGTCAAGGTGGACCCGGCTTTGCATGGCACTTGGGTCCAGGGGACAGGGGCTATCTGATGGAGGTGACTTGGAGGTCCACATGGTGGGCTAGAGGCAGGAGGGGGAAATAAATTACAGGCCATAACTAGGGACAAGGGTGAAAGGGGTAGAGGGCAGGGGTAGGAGGACAAAGAGCAAGGTGTGGGTTTAGAGTGGGGTACTTAGGGACTGAGTCTTTCTTTTTTTACATGAGTAGGTTACATTGTTTGTGTTTGTTAGGTAGACCCAAGTTGTAGTTGAGCCCTTCACCCAGGAGGTGTGTCAAATACCCTTACGTTATGCCTGTGAGGTAAGAGCATGCCAATCCCCTTCCCTCCTGGGACTGAGTCTTTACACATTCCATGAGTGGTCTGGCACGCTCCACAGGGCCTTCCATCGGAAGTCTCAAGGCCTGTCACAGAGTGAACGTGCTCAATGCATAGAGTGTGACCACAATGCCACTTTATTTTGGTTATAGCCTTTCCTTACCTTACGGTGAGGATATTCTTCCCTAGCTCCAAATGAATACTGCAGCTGCCTTTGACTCCTTCCTTCCTTCCTTCCTTCCTTCCTTTCTTTCTTTCCTTCTTTCTTTCTTTCTTTCTCTCTCTCTTTCTCTCTCCCTTTCCTATTTTATTTTATTTTTGAGACAGTCTCACTATGTCACCCTCATTAGAGTACTATGGCATCATAGTTCACAGCAACCTCAAACTCTTGAGCTTAAGCTATTCTCTTGCCTCAGTCTCCCAGTACCTGGGACTAAGGCACCCGCCACAACACCTGGCTATTTTTTTGTTGCAGTTGGCCCCAGCTGGGTTTGAATACACCAGCTGTGGCTAGCGCCGTAACCACTCTGCTACGAGTGCTGAGCCTCTTTCTTTTTTTTTAGACAGTCTCCCCCTCTGTTGCCCCAGGCTAAAGTGTGGTGGCATCATAGCTTACAGCAATCTCCAATTCTTGGGCTCAGGAGATCCCCTTGCCTCAGCCTCCTGAGTAGCTAGGACTACAGGTGCCCACCATGATGTCTGGCTAGTTTTTCTATTTTTAGTGGAGATGGGGTCTTACTCTCAGGCTTATCTCAAACCCCTGAGCTCAAGCAACCCTGCCTCAGCCTCTCAGAGTGCTAGGATTACAGGCATGAGTCATTGTGCCTCACTATATTCCCTCTTTTTCTTAGGTAATAAGCACAGAGCCTTAGCTGGTACAGGAGACACAGCAGGCACTGGAGTATGGGTTCTAGGTGAGTGTCTCTTTGTTAAAACTGCAGAAATATATCCTTGGAAGTGATTGTATAATATGGGGTCTGGGATTTTTTATTATTGTTGTTTATTTTTTTCACATTTCCCTCCACATATTTTCATCATGTGAATAATTGAGCCCTTCAATTGTGGGGTCATGCCTGTAATCCCAGCACTCTGGGAGGCCAAGGCAGGGATTGCCTGAGTTCACCAGATGTTGGCCAACGTTTTCTTTAAAGAGCCAGATTAGCTGAGCACCTGTAGCTCAGTGGCTAGGGTGCTGGCCACATACACTGGAGCTGGCAGTTTGAAACCAGTCTGGGCCTACCAAACAACAATGACAACTACAACAAAAAAATAGCCAGGCATTGTGGCGAGCGCCTATAGTCCCAGCTACTTGGGAGGCTAAGGCCAGAGAATCGCTTAAGCCCAAGAGTTTGAGGTTGCTGTAAGCTGTGATATCACGGCACTCTACTGAGGGCAACATAGTAAGACTCTGCCTAAAAAAAAAAGAGTTTAAAGAGCCAGATTATATTGCTTTATGGGCCACTTAATCTTTGTTACAGCTACTCAGCATGAATGGCTGTGTTCCAGTAACACTTAATTTCCAAAAACAGGACACAGGCCCATCAGCTGTAGTTTGCTAACTCTTCCTTTAGATTACTCTAATTCCTAGCCATTGGAGCCTAAGGCCCCAGGCAGAGATCAAGGAGCAAAGACAAACCCTCTCCCCTGTGCTCTGTAAAAATCTCTGAAACACAGAATTGAGGAATCTAATAAAATGCCTGACATTTTATTCCCACTATGTTTGGGATGGTATTTTACACAGCAATGGATACGTAGGATAGTATTGTGTAAGGCAGACCTTATTAAGAAAGCAAGATTTTGGGCGGCGCCTGTGGCTCAAAGGAGTAGGGTGCCGGCCCCATATGTTGGAGGTGGTGGGTTCAAACCCAGCCCCTGCCAAAAACAGCA